TTGAAATTTAAAACATTTTAGTGAAAAGGGTTCTTTCTAGCTGGAATTTTTTATCAACGCGGACATCAACATGATTTTTGGTTATATATTTTTAGTTGTTTTGAGCTTTTGTCAATTTTGCACGCTCGTTTACAAAGGATCAGATTTAAGATTAATAACCTATGGTTTGATTTTCGCGTAAAAATTCATTGTGTTGTGGCCCTGTTAACTCAATCTTAAACATAGAAAATTAGGTATGGGGATTAAAACTTGTAATTGTGTTTGTAGGTGTGATATTGAGAATTTTCCAGTCAAAATGAGTTTTCTTTGAAAGAGCCAATTACAGCTTTATGCATACGTGTATAAGTGTCTTCTTATGAAATGAACACTCAGTTTCTTGGCTAGTTTCCTTAATTTATGCCTTTATAAAGAGGAGAATCGGATTAGTTAAAATGAGATCCAGCCTCGTTAACTCTGATCCTTGTGAGGAGGTGAATTGAGCAAATGAGACTCACAATCTTGTCTTATAGACAAGGCAGCTCAGCTCAAGGGAATGCGTAACTAGGACGACTTGGAGCCTAATTTTATGGAGATTTTGGTTTTTTAGCAGCATTTGCATGCTTGTTGAGGTGAAGCAAATACTTTTTAAAAATGCAAACATTAAAGTTATGTCTTGCTTCTTTTTGCATCATTCGTAGACCGTGTAATTGTTTATTAGCTTTATTTGGTTTCGGTTTAAAGACTACCTTCAGGTATCTAATCAATTGACCCTCTTCACATTCAAGGATTCGTTATTCTTCAATAAGAATGGAAAAAGATTTTTTTTAGAATGTATTATTTTTTTCCTGAAATATAATTAAGAGTATCTTGAGGCTGAAACTTCTTACTGTTTATAGACCATCTATGCATGCCCTATAGTGAATCAAGCCAGAGTTGAAGTCGCTGAGAAGAGGCATGTAGTGGCTCGAGTTGCCAAAAGCTTTTGTTTGCTTTTTTTTTTTTTTTCTTTTTTCTGAAGATATTGCTCATTTATAAACTACTAGAAAGGTGAACCAACTGGTAGTAATTTTGTTCATATCTTCCCTTATTTTGTTAGGTTAGTGGATATGGATCTAAATTTTTCTTTTTCTGTATCATTTCTCTACGTCTTTTTTGTCCCTCTTCTTCGTAAGATTTATTAATTTTTTTAATCAAATTTCACATATTTAATCCAATAGGAAATTTAGTGGCTTGTTTTTGGTTGCCAAGTGATGTTTTGATGCGATTAATTAAATGCTCTTAAAACATGTAGAAAAAATGTGAGGAAATAATATTCACCAATCAAAGCGTTGTGGGTCCTTGTTTTATTGAAGCCAAATAAAACATTAATGTTTTCTTAATGCAATTCCTCGTGTAACACTGATAAGTAGAGAGAAACAAAGCATTTTATGTCACAATTTCACTTGAATGGCTATTGTGTGGTTCAGTCACGCCCTCTACTAATATTTGAATGCGGCATAGCTCATTTACTAAATTTTGGAATGCCAGGCTAGTTTTGAGAATCTTCATAATATGTTAGGTTATTACTGGGAGATCAATCTCAAAAATAGTTTAAAAATTCCACAAATTTTTAAAAAAGATAAATGTATATTTTCATTTTGACCTTTTAATTTTTAAATAAGTTTTTGGTGGTCTCATTGGGAAATTAATTAGAGCTAGTTAGTCCAATAAGACGCTTTTCAGTTGTCTTGAATTCATTATATTTAATTAATTTTTGCATGGGCATCAAATGATATACAAAACTAATTACCTATTTGGGGGGAAACGTCACATGCGCAATATGGCTAGCGGTCAAACGAGAAGTACAGTTAAAGAATCTGATGATTAAATGGAAAAAAAATAATTATTTATTCATAAAAAGATATTCCAGTCGTGCTTATGGAGCTATTTATCTTATGGCACCTAATCTAACCTTTCACTAAGCTAGATTAGTTCTAATTATTTATTCATAAAAAGATATTACAGTCGTGCTTATGGAGCTATTTATCTTAAACCAAGCCCAAAATATCCAAACAAGACACCTAATCTAACCTTTCACTAAGCTAGATTAGTTCATTAACTTCACGTAATAGGGCATTTATTTATCGGTAAGTACAGCACAACAGTGTTTTCCTCGCTGATCGCTTTCTTTTATGCATGCTCTATAGCCACGTGAATTTCCTTGAGAAATTCAAAGCGAGGCTCTTAAAAATTGCTATTAAATTTCTAAAAATCAACCAAAACTCTTTCAAAAATTTTCTTTAAGAAAATGGTAATAAAGGATGACTTCCTTTCAGACCACTCAATTCCTTTGTATTTACACATCTAGCAACTAAACTTCAATTTTTACATACACACCAGCCTGCTTATACAAGAAAATATGTATCATTTTTTTTTAAAGTTAAAATTGTCATATATTTGTGGTATAAATGTAAATAAATAAAAAAAAAGTTATAGGTCTTAGACATATAAATACATGAGCATTGGGTGGTACGTATGTAAATACCCTAAAAGAGAGACAAATATGGTAACTTGTGTTAAAAAAAGGTATGCACATTTTTTGTCTTATATGATCTTGATTTGCAGGAAATGCATATATAAGCTATAGCTTTATTGTGAAGTGAGAAAAAATAAAATAAAATAAATAAAAGTCACATCACATCAATGGTTCACATTTTGATGCTCCAGCAATGAACGAATAGATTTAGATTGGAGATTGGGTATTGGAAATAGTTAAATGGAGGTCTTCTGACCAACTCTTACCCCTTTGTTAAAAGGGTTGCCATTTTTAACCCTAAAAAGGGCTAACTTGGTGCTCTACAAAATATTAACAATTTACTCGGGAACTTCACAAACATCTTTACATAAAACTATTCCATATTCACAATCATTTTTATTCGCGACCATTTTCTTTATCATGATGAATCGCATATATGGCATGTTGAATCTATCATAACTTAGAACGTAGAGAATTATAATGTGGACAAAAAAAAAAGAAAGAAAGGATTCATTAATATCACATGATTATGATTTTGAAAGAGAGTTTTTAGTAGTTTTGTTAGAGTAAGCCAGACTAAGCTTCTCTTTAAGTTTTCCTATATCATATTATGGCAAACTTCCTACTCTAAATTCAATGTTATGAAGTGAAGAGGAATGTGTCCCACATTCTTGTCCGATACAACTTTCCACAACAATGATATTCATTCAAATTCATACGCAAATTAGATGCAAAAAATTGCGTCCGAAAATTTTGAATGCTAATTCAAATGCTATTTACCTATATTCATGGAGTGTGTTCACACTACCCAAAATATGTCCACACTCAAACCGTTCAATATCTCTTTTCACACCAAGGCCTACACATAACTTACATCTTTCTTCATAACAGTAGCTTTTCTAAATATTAGCCATGCCCCTCATGTTGTTAAATCAAATTTTTTTCTTAAGGTCTTAGGGTATGTTTGGGACACCTTCCTGACTGACACCCCAGTCATATGTGAGAAACTGCTTTTTAATTTTTTATGATGATTTTTTTCAGCATGACCTGTTAAAGTGCATTAGATGTATGTAAGAAAACTAATGTATGAGTTTTTAGATATATATATTTCTTACCCCAACTTTCTAAAAGATCGTTTTCTTCCTCATATATTTACAGCAATTTTTCATAAAAAATTGCAGCAGCCAAGGCATTTAATATACTCTCCCACATCTCTTAACACCAAATGAAAATAACCACCACTAAACTCTGCCTTAAATATTGTTATATGTATAGCACCTAGTGCCCATATCAAGACCAGCAGTTTCAAGTGTGACCATGATATAAATTGAAAGATAATGATACCTTTTTGAGTTAAAAACCATAACCACGAATATGCCACTTGATTGGATCAAGGTAGATATGATTTTTCTTTATTTCATCAATTAAGATGGCAATGCTAGTTTATTTTTTTTGGATTATTACGTTTGTGGAATTTCAAACATCATGTAATATTTCCTAATTATCAATGATTATATATATATATATATATATAAATTTTTTTTTATTTATTGCTTATAGAATTTTCAGAGTCCCAAACCAAGCAGCCAAAATACTTTTAGCATGTTTTAGCAATATTTATCATAAAGTCAAAATATTTTCAACATTTGAATTCTCACTCAAATATGAAAATTCATGGTAAAATTCATATTTTCATTTTTATAAAATTCTCTGTAGTTTGATAATGGCACACATGGTTGATTAACTTATGAATATCAATGTCTCGAACCCTATTAGCCGAACAACCCTTTTGTATGTTGTAATTTAATAAATATTGTATTCTGTAGTTTGATGATGGCACACATGGTTGATTAATTTATGAATATCAATGTCTCGAACCCTTTTGTATGTTGTAATTTAATAAATATTGTATATAATACTAATAATTTTGACACGAGATGGCATCAAGCTTTATCAAAATCGAAACATGATTTAAATAGTGATAAGTAGTTTTTTGAACTAAATCTCTTAAATCTTGTTTTCCCTCCATTTTTAACTAAATTATATAGTTTGGTAAATCCGGGTGAGATGATGCTGCTGCTTACTCACAGATCATCTTCCGTAACTCTCTCCAATCTGCATAAGCCGCTTCCTTCATTATCCCCTCTGCAAAATAGTTCCCGATTAAATCTCGTTTTTATTTAAATCATAAATATAATCGTTATTAACCAATTTACGACATATTAATTAGATTTTCATCATATTAATGCCAAACAATTTTCAACAATATTTAACAACCAAAAAACAAAAAAAATGATCAAGTTTTAACAAAATCCACTAAAACATTCTTCTACTACTGATGATATAACTAAACCCTAAACAAAACCAAATACTAAGACCAACAAGAAAAAGAAGATGATGACGAAGAAGAAGAAGAAGAAGAATGATACAAGGAGAACTAATTCGAAAGCATGCATGCAACATATATAAACTATAGAATCATGGATCATGGATCATGGATCATGGATCATGGATCAGCAGCGCCATCCTTGAAAGGCCATAGCCTGAGCTCAAGATCAAGCTCCCCCGATTCTTCCATGTCCACCATCTGCTTCATCTTTTCTCTCTCTTCTCCGCCGCCATGATATTCTCTCCGCTTATTCTTCATATCGATATTAACTCCCCTTGAAGAGCCTGCGGAGTAGTAATTAGTTCCAAAGTAGTATTGGGGATTATTGGAGAATGCAGCCTTGTTTGCTCGATCTCTTCTGTGGATGTTCATGTGGCCTCCCAGTGCTTGAGCGTTTAAGAATCCTCTCCTGCACAAGTTGCATTCGTATGATCTACTCATCATCATCGTATGTGATGACGGCTTCCCGCCCACAGCAGCGTCGTCTTCTCCGTCGTTCGGGCTATCGTTTTGCATTCTCAAACACTTAACACAGAATCAAACTGTGCTTTGGGGAAAGCCCACCACCCCACTCCCTTCTCTTCTCCTTATAATGGCACTTCGGGCTATCTTTTACAAATGACATTTTTATATGTATATAATGAACCTCAAATGGAGGAGTAGGCAAGTGCGCTCAAACATGAATCTAATGAAAATAATATAAAAATACTATAATTATCATTTCACACTAATTCTAATCAACTATAAATGAAAGAACATTAAATGTAATATATATGACATTGGCAATGGAGACTCATTATGGTTCTTCCAAGTTATATATACACCTTTGTGTTGTTTCCAAAATTTTCGTCTGTCTTATAATACGTGAAAAAATATATATATATACAAGATATTAATTCTGAGCTAAGTTTATTACAATTTAAATATAAATAAAATCATATAATAGATTCATATAAGCCCAAATTCACATAAGATCTTCATATTGTCCCCCCCACAACAAATAAAGAAATAAATAAATAAATAAATAAGAGTATCAGAGCGGGTTAGTGATGACATGTCTTCATTTTAATTTGACTAGTAGCATATTTTATTGTTATTATTATTATCTATTATTTTATTTTTTTTGCTTTTGTCGCATTACGAATGCCTCTAATGGATTACAGCGTTTGCTGATTGGTTCCTCGGCGTGTAAAATTTATTTAATATACATATTTCTTAATTTAAATTTAATGAAGTTATAATGGGCGGGTATTTAAAATTTCTCAAAAGGAATTGCAGTGAGGAAGATGAGCTGTTAACAAATTAGGTTTCGTAAGTCAGTTATTAAAATGAAGATAAGTTTAGAAGCCTGAGTAGACAATAACACGAAGTAAGCTTTGCTCTTCTTTTTTTTTTTATAATAATAATAATATTTTTTTAAAATTAACACAGTAATTAGAGGAGGAAGCGTGGTTAAAGAAGCCTGAGTAGACAATAACACAAAGTAAGCTTTGCTCTTCTTTTTTTCTATAATAATAATAATACGTTTTTTTTAAATTAACACAGTAATTAGAGGAGGAAGCGTGGTTAATGATGTTCAGCCCACTAACTAATTCATCTTTTCCGACCCAGCTTTATTTTTATAGGTTTTAATGACTTTGGGGGGTAAAGTTTGGGTCAACATATTATAATCTATATTTAATTATTATGAAGCTTTAGATTATTAAATGCATATTTCAATACATGATTAAAAATAATATTTGATTTCACCTAAAAAACCTCGAAGCATAAATCTCTATGCAAATTTAAGTGAACTCAATAAATTCAGGAACACCTTCAATAAATTTATAATTAAATTGAATATCTTGAAGAAAAAATGCCAAGGCACTTCAAAAGTGGTTTAATTTGTGTTCCAATATGCCTAAACTAGTACTATAAGCATAATTAAAAACTTCGAGATAATAAATGAGGGTTTAAATGATTTTAAAATCTTTTTGTTTATAGTTAAATTGAGTGTCTCTATTAAGACAAATTCAGCGAGCCTAAGACTACTTAGCTATGACATCCTTGAGGCACTCTAACACCTTAATGATCATAGCCCAACCAGTATTATTGTTGGATTGCCCCTGCCCGAACATAATAAATTTGGCCGCCGCCATCATTGGATCTCAACCATTCAATCGATAACAACCATCAAATTATTGCCGACATCAACTATAATTAAAGCAATGAAGAATTGAGATTTGGGGTAAAAAATTCCACTCCCATTCTTTCATCACTTCAATACTCCTCCCGAAATAAGGATTCTCTTGGATTGTATGAGCCCACGAGTAAAATGAGGCCCCACATCCTAAAGAGATTTAACAATAACATTTATATTAAAGCAATTTAATGATAAAAATGACAACAATCTCTTTTTTAGTACAAATAATCACATCCTGTTGTTATGACTATCTCAGAGGATTAAAACTAATAGAACTTAAAATTATAGAAACCATGCTTCAGAAAGCACACAAACACAAACCAAAATGTTTACGGTGGTAAAGATTCATTTAATGCTCATTAAGTTAATCAAAATTAAGTTAAATAATTATATATGACTTGAACCCAAAATATTTTATAAAAATATTAAAGCTTTTGTTGATAAACTATTTATTATCTTGTAACAAATTTAAAAAAAAAACATAATTCCTTTTGAGTTAACTCAAATCATTTTTTCATAAGAATATAAAAAAAAATTTAAAATATTTTTTTTGAGTTGAATACTTTCACTTCACGTTTGACTCAATATTTTATAGCTAATTTTGATTAGATTAATTTAATTGTGTGCATTTCCGAATTAACTTATACTGAAAACGTGTATTATACAACAAATACATTTAATTTGGTTTTAATAATTAATTTGTCTAAACTAATTAAAAATTAGGCTGGTTCAAATATAAAATAAATTTTAGACAGTTCAAATAAATAAAATATTGTGAAATTAAACAATTCGTTTACTTTTTTAGTTCATAATTTAATTATCTATGATAATGCAGTGAAATTAGAAGTGTAAATGTCATGGAAATAACTACCCATGAGTAGTTATCTTTAAGGGTTATAGTTCCCCTTTTATGTGTGCAAGGGTATCTTCACCTTTCAAAGAGAAAGGGAAATTGCATCTTATCTAGAATCCCATTGAAAGAAAAGATGAAGAAACACACATCAATTTGAAAGATAACAACCCATAACAACAAGAAATCAAGAAGAAATCAAGAATTTTGTTTTTTTGTTTCTCTTGATGATTTGACATGGAGGATCTCGTGTTTCATGAATCAACTCTTTGATTTGTGATTCCACCAAAGTTTTTCCTCACTTTATAATTAATAAATAATGAGAAAACAATTTATCTAAGATAGTTAAGTTATAAAAAATGTATAAATTAAACCTTTTTTATATTAAAATTGTAAATTTAATTTGCTTTTTCATAAAAATACAAATTATTAAAAATGTAATTTATTTTTGCTTTTATGCTCCTCTTTAAATTTCAATTAATTAATAATTTTTTTTTAATTATCATTATTAAGAATTCATTTTTAAAAATGGGATGATAACCCCAAACACTGATGTTTATCATCATCTAGATCAATTTTTTAGAAACTGGCCAAGTCCTGTCGCTTGGATAACGACAATATCGACAGCAGTTTTATTTTACTTAGTATTTATATGTATTTATATTAAGGTGATAGTGTGCTTAAACTGCAACAATATATTTTGAGCTATGATGTTCTCACAATCCTAATAATTAATGTATTATGCAGTGCGCATACGTCCAATACAAACAAAACATGTTTCGGACATGATGGACACATGCTTAATTTAAAAAAATAAATAAATTATGTGGATGAGATAGTGGTATGATGATTGTCATCAATTTCATCCCGTATCCAAAACTTTAATGCTTGAAGCTCACCGATCTAAAAAAAAATGGGCATGTTATTATATAGTTTTTTAGTAGACTTGAGTGTTAATTTTTGAACGAGTTTTCAATATATATATATATATATTCATACTTTATTCGTTTAAAATTTTTAATGCTCACATTTGATTTGTACTTGACTTATTTATATTAATTTGAAAAAAAAAGAAATCTGAATGAATAATTAATTTTTTATATTAAACTAGTAAGCAAGCTAGAGTTTTGACTGATTATGTGATTTTTAATATATTATTAATAAATGAATTTATAAATCTAATTAAAAAGATTTTAAAGTTACATGTAACTAGTTTATGCCTAAAAAAAAAATAATTTATAGTTATAAGTAAGATTTTTTGCAATTAAATAATACAAATAAGTTCAAATAATTTAGTTCATTGAAATAAAAAAATATTAAAAAAAGTGCATCAAATTCATGTGCATATTAATATTACATTATAATATGTTATTACTAGATATATTATAGAATAAATTCTAGTTAATAATTTTTTTTTAAAAATAATATATCCTACAAGTATAGAGCTTTTAATAAGATAGCTCTTAAAAATAAATAATTTTGTTCATGAACATTCACAAACTAGCCGAACTGTCAAATGTGGTTCATTTAAACTTCAATTTCTTAAAGAAATATTCAAATTTGTTTATTTATTAATTTGAACAAACATGGCCGAATATTAATTGAACCGCATTCTAATTATTCATCAAGTACATTTGTTCATTTACAACTCTAACCTTATCTAACATGCATCCTAATATCTTAGAAGAAATCATAAGAAAATTAAAGTTTTTTAATTTATATAATATTTATTCAATACTTTCAAAATTGACTTTCCTTCATTTTTATATTTTTAATATATATATATATCAAGTTTACCAAAATCTAAATTAATTATTCATTATATTTTTTTAAAAGATTTAATTTATTATATTTCCCATTTCTCTCTTCCACCTATATTCATACCAACTAATTACCTTAATAAAATAGGTTTTTATAATTTATAAATTACGTTTTATTCACTAATTTTTTAATTAATTTCTTGATTTTAACTTCTTTTCATGTTGTTAACCTTTTAGAACACGCCATCTTAATGCATTTAAAAAAATTCATAAGAAATAAAAATTTTGTAATTTATATTATATTTATTCTATAATTTTGATGAATATTCTCCCAATTCTGAGTAAGAATCTCATATCAAAATTGGCTTTAAAATTTTTAAAACAAATAAGTTATAAAGCGAATATCTATGTCCTATATTTTTAATAATAAATGTACCTTACATCTATGTTCCCATATTCGTCGAATGCATTGAGAGGCGGAACCAGATAATTTTGCTATTTAGCCAACACATATTTTGGCAAATCAAACAAGAGCCTGTTCAAGCTTAATTCGAGTTTCTGGTTCAGCTTATTTAAATTCCTTATTCATCAAGTTCCATTTGAGCTCCGCTTGAGATTAGTTTTCGATTAGCTCAATCAAGCGACAACTTGTTTAGCCTAATTGAGCTCAAACTTATTAATTATTAATTTAAATAAATAAAAATTTATGATCCTTAATAAATCA